GACCGTAAATAATTATAATAATCCCAGTGCGGATTCGCCTGTGGGGCAACAGGGTGTGCCTGAAATGATGTCATGTCGCCCCGTGAGCAGGGACGAGGCACTGGAGATAAGCCACCCTCGAGCGCGTAGCTTTTATTCAGTGTACACATTACAGTAACTGGGAGAACCACGTAAAATGATGGCTGTTCAGTGTACCCCTCCCCAAAACAGAGGGCAGGGAGGTGGGATGGGGGAAGGAGGTTCAACCCTAAGAAGAAGAGAAAAAACTCAGAAAACAAAAAGAAATACGTTAGTAATCCCGACGTCTGTGTCGGGATCAGACTCTAGTTAAGGCTGCCGGATTGGAGTTTTACAAATCCCGATAAAAGCTCCTTTAAGAGACACCCTTAAAATATGCTGACACCGAGAAACAAACAAAAAGTGTGGGTAGTTGTATTAATATAAAATAAAATAGATGGCAAGGCAAGAGACATTGCTGGTGACAAAGACGGTAACCACCAAATAATAAAAGGCTTAATTTGCCGGGAAAATGGAACAACCCCAATAACACAGCCACGAAAGATGTAGATCACAAGGGACACGCAGACATTTCACCGAGGAGGGTATACACGGATGGCCTCTCTGTGTGTGAAAAGACATCCAGTAACCATTAGAAAAAATGCAAATTAAAACTACAGTGAGATATCACACTACACCCCGATCAGACTGGCTATGACGAAAAATAACACCCTATGCGGGCGAGAATGCGGAGAAACTGAGTCGCTCGGACATCACTGGTGGGAATGTCAAATGATACAGCCACTCTGGAAGAGTTTGGTACTTCCTTTTAAAACTAAAATTGAATTACCATATGTGAGGGGTAATTTAATGTGTCATCTAGCTGGGGTGTGGCACCCAGTCCTTTGATTAAACACCCGTCTTTAGTGCAGCTGGGAAGGTACTTTTTAGACGTGACTAACATTTACATCAGTAGACCTGGAGTGAAGCAGATTAACCTTCCTAATGTGGGTGGGCCTCGTCCAATCAGTTGAAGGCCATGAGAGACAAGACTAAGGCCCCCCCAAAGAGGCAGGAATTCTTCCTGCAAATTGCCTCTGGACACAAGGCTGCGACTTTGCTGGGTCTGCCACCTGCCGAACTGCTCCGCAGATGTGCTGGCTCCCACACCTGCACGAGCCAACTCCCCAAAAGGGGCCGCCCTCCGGTGTCCTGCCTCTGTGTTCTTGTTGGTTCTCTCTCTCTGGGGCACCCCAATGGGTCCATCACACCCCAGCACGTGTGTCCCTGGGCGTTTTCCCCACAGATCACTCAGGGACACGGCGCGAGCGTCCCAAGTAGCATTATGGGTAACAGCCCCAAACCAGAAACGACAGTGTCCTTCTGTGGGTGACCGGGCGTGCAGATCATGGCCCTTCTACGCCGTGGGACAGGACCCGGCCACCACGTGGACGAGCCTCAGGGAAATTACGCGGAGTGGCGAAGGCCAGTCTCTGAAGGGCACATGGGGGGTGCTTAATTTATGCAGCACTTGAACTAGAGAAATTACGGAGATAGAGAAGCAGGTTGGTGTGGCCAGAGGGGGCAGTGAGGGGTCTTAGGATGGTCCAGGTGAGTTTCTTGGTTGTGGTGGGTACGTAAGGCCACATGTGGGTAAAATCGCAGCTACATACACACACACACACACACACACACACACGAGTGCATGTGAGACAGGTGAAGTGCCAGTGCCCCAATGTCAGAGGCTTGGATTTGCCACCGCACTGTCATCGTCTAAGCTGTTAACATCGGGGAAACAGTACAAGGATGTCTGTGTGCGCCTCGCCGCAACCTCCTATGACTCTGTAACTATTGCAGAGTAAAAAGGTGAGCTAGAACACGGATACTTTAAAAAACAAATTATACATATATACGTGTGTGTGTATACATATATGTGTGCGTGTACATATATGTGCGCGTGTGTATGTATGTATATATATATATCAAGAATTATCAGAACTATTAAAAAAAATGGACAAAGCCACCATCCCAGGAGGAAATTTAACATATCTCTAACTAACCAGAAGGACGTGGTAGGTTACTGCGCTGATGGTGGGCTAACGGGCAGGTAGAGACCAGCGGCTCACCGGTTAAACACACACTCTTCTCCAGCACGTGTGGGACATTTGTGACTATCCATGACCGAACATTCGGCCAGGAAGCCAGCCAGACAACGTCAGCAGATGACTCTCGCCCACGGCATGGCATGACTGTGACGTGAGTTAGAAATCGCCATCACAGAGAGAACTAGAAGAGGCCCAGACTTTCATATATTAAAACACACACAGCCGAACAATTCATGTCAGATAAGAAATCACAATGAACGTGCAAAATCTTACCTGAATGAACATGGAAAGAGAGAAGTGGATGTGGACGCAAACACGTTAGAAAGAAAGTCCCCGAAGTCATGAATAAAGCATTGAACGTCAGCAGCTGGAAAGAAATAGCAGAATAAATGCAAGGAATATGGAGGGATGAAATTATTAAAAATTATGTCAGCACATCTTTATCAAGTAGATACTTTGTACCCGACGCTTTTCTTGATGGGGGGAACAGCCGAACAAATCAGACACAAAAATTCCTGCTCACGTAGAGTTATATCCGAGAATAATAAAGATCAGAGCAGTGATCAGTGAAACAAAACAAACATACATCCCAGAAAACATCGATAAAGGCCCCGCCCTGGTGAGAAGCTGATGGCACACCGGATTGGCGGAGTTAAAGCGACGAAGGCAGAAAGAATTGTTGGCGGGAATAAACAGGGGCGAGGGCAGCGTGTACCACGGAAGTGAGGCGGGGGCTCATGGCATTTTCACCAAGACGACACCAATCCATTCGAAGGGAGGAATTCCTAGAAAAATGCAAAGCTAACTCAAGAAGCATCAGAGAAGCTACTTAACGTGATTCCTGTAGAGGAAATTGAAGTCGTGGTTTGAAGTCCCCCAAAACACCAGGGCAAGTTCGACCCGTGACTCCAGAAAACAGAGAATCCAAACTCTGTGCACATTTTTATGACCTTGAATTTACATGACCTTGAACTTATAACCTTGAATTCAAAACCAAACTGGGATTTTACAAGAATGGAAAAATACAATCTGACTCCATTGCAGCAACAGATGAGTGAGACACTATGGTCCGTCCCAAGGGTTAGTCCTGATGCAAGACTAATTTAATATTTTAAAATTTGTTGTGATTCATGACACTCACAGATTAAAGGGGAAAATATGGCTGCAAGAGATGCAGAAAAATTCAATAATGCTCAATATTAATTCATGTTTGCTTTTAAAATTTTTTTGTTAACCAAGAATTTACAAAGAAGCCTTCAGCCAACATTATGGTTAACAGTGAAACACCGAGTTTTCTTCGTTATGATCAGGAAGACAATAGTGACGTCTGTCATGGGCAATGCTACTCAGTTTTATGGGCAAAGGATTATTCAGAGGTTAACAAGGTTGGGATCACAAAATTAATATGAAAAGCCCATTGACTTTCTATATACCAGCAGAAGAAAATATTAGAAAATGCAATTTGAAACCGTAAAATATTATGTACCAAGTTCCTAAATCTAAGGAAAAACGTGCAAGACCTTTAAAGAGAAAATTATTTAAAGCTTTTTTGGGAAAGACCTACAGGAAAGCCTAAGCAAACGGAGAAATAAACCATGGTTTTGGAGAAAACACTCAATGTCTTAGAGAGGCTCACTTTCCCCAACGGGCGCGTCTATCCGATGTAAGCACAGTGCAAATCCCAACGGTTTTTCAAGGAATTTGGGGAGCCTGTCGAAAACTTCCGTGGAGGAGCTAAGGGCTCCGGGAAAAGGAGCAGAGAAGGGACTTCAGTCCCCGGGTGGACGGAACCCAGCACCCCTGAGATACACGCTGGACAGTGGGTGAACAGACTATCAGGTGTGACGTCAGGGCAGAGAGGCGCCCCTGTGACGCCCCGCGCTGGGACAGCCCGTTCCCCGCGTGGGAACACAGGAACTGGATCCTCTCCTCGTATGCACACAAAACCCTCGTCCAGGTGGACTGGAGGCTTGCGCTCAGCACTATATCCGTTAGAAAATGACGGACGGGCTATCGTAAGGCCTCATGGCAGGTTACTCACGCGAGACCCCAAAAAGCAACACAGAGCAGGAAACTGAGGCATGGGGACCAGTTAAGAGCTTTCGTGGTTGCCTGGCCAGAGAGGATCCATGTCCAGGGCACAGCCGACCCTTGACCAGCAGCAGAGTTGGGGCCTCGCGCCCCAAGCACCATCAAAAATCCACGGATAACGTTGGACTCTCCTGAAACTATAGCGACTAATGGCGTCCTGTCGACCAGAAAAGCTTTACCGGTAATGAAGTCGGTGAACACGTATTTTGCAGGTTCAATGCATCCATCCCATACTGTATTCTTCCGTTAAGTAAGCTAGAGAAAGAAAAGCGTCATTAGGACAATCATAAGGAAGATACATTGACAGTATTTAGTGACAAAAATCCACATATCGGTGCCTCCAAGCCCGTGTTTTCCAAGGGTCAGCTGCGTACTAACTGCCTGCAAGTCAGTAAGAAAACGTGGAGGACCCTAGAAGTGGACTGATGCGCCACAGAAAAAAACGCTCCGGCCAGAAACCCATCCGGCAGCTAGGCGACCAGAGTGACCAGGCCACCGGGCCGCGGTGACTCGGATTCCGCCTAGAAATGGACTGTGTGGGAGAGAAACAGGTCCTGACAGCAGGGCCAGTGACTAAAAACATGGCTCAGAACCCGGGGAAACGACACAGTTCAGAGGCGCTGGCAGGTGGCCAAGCACAGAGCAAAGCGGAGAAATGATACCCCGCCCCCCACAGCGGCACCTCCGCCAGGGCCGCCGAGGTCTCCGCGGTGCCCCTGCTTTGTCACTCATCGCCTGCTCTTTGCGGGACGCTGCTGCAACTCCCAGGCAGCCTCGCACAAGTCGGCTCCCCCCAGGACAGGCGGTGGCTCCGTCCCCACGCCCACGTGCGGGCCAAGCCTGCGGAGCCTCCCGCTCCCTGGGGCGCTCCGCGCGCCTTCGTCAGATGACAGCCTGATCGCAAGAAGCAGCTCCTTCACCGGTCAGGGTGCGTCAGCCATTGTGGCTTCCGGTGGGGAGACTGAGGCAGAGGCAGTCCTGGGACGGAGGGCTGGATTCTGTGGGGGGCAGGGGCCTCTAGGACCCCTCCCACAGGGCCTCTCCCCCTTACAGCCACATGCCTGCCTGGGCCAAGCCCCGGGCCCCAGGTCTGGAGCCCCGCCCCCACCCAGGTTCCCGAGGCCGGCTGCCCGCCTGGTGGCTCCTGCCAGGGCTGGCCTCCCCCTCGGGCGCCCCCAGCCGTCTTCCAGGACCCGCGGGACCCCCGCCACCCGGCGCCAAGAGGGGCGTTCCCGCGCTGGCCTCCGGGAGGGCTCAGCCCCGGCCTCCGTTCTGGCGGTTCCCTCTCCCCACCCTCTCCCCCTTCTTCCCAGGCTACTGTGGGCCCTGGGCCAGCGGCCCAGCTGCCCCCGCCCCCCAGGGCAGGGGCCAGGCCCCGTCCTCCCAGGCCTGGCGCGGCTCCATCCAAGGACTTGTCTGGAACACCAGGGAGCCCTGCTTGGGCCTGGCGTGGGGGGGTCCTGGGGGCCGCTCGGGAGGGGGCAGGCCCCCAGCTCGCCTGCTTTTCATGTCCCTTCAGGCGCGGGGCTCCCTCTGGGCCGCCTTTGTCTCTTCCTTTCAGCCTGATCTGCAGGCCAATCCCTCCCCTGGGTTTTCTGGGGTGGAAGAAAGGGCCGGAGATGGGGGGTGGCGGGAAACAGGGCCCCACCCAGAGTCTCGCTGCTGGGCCCCTGCCAGGCGGGGCTTCAAGGAGGCTGAGCAAGCTCCTGGTTCCCACCCCTGCCAGCCTGGTCCCAAACTGGAAGAAAGGAGCCTTTGCCAGCCTGTGACACCAGACCCTCCGCCTGGGCAGCGAGCCCAGCCCAGTCGTCCCTGCCAGTTCCAACCCGCCAGGGTGTTGCCCAGACCCTGCCCCTTTCAAATGCTGTCCTTTGCCACGCCCCCCCTCCCCACCCCCACACTGACGCTCCTGGGTGGTCTTGTCACATGCTCCCGCTGCTGTTCCTGTTCTCTGGGCCCTTGGTGCTGGAACTCCCATTCTGCTCAGGGCCACTGACCAGGGAAGGGGGCTGCTTGGCCAAGCTGACAACTGGGCGTGTGTGTGTGTTTGTGGGAGTGGGGGGAAGCACAGAGGCCAGACATTTTGTTGGGGGGGAGCAGCAGGGCTAGGGTCTGGGGCCAGCTGAGCACTTGCACACCCTAGCCAGCATCCAGGGACCTGTGTGCTGACAAGCCTGGCCTGAGGGACCCTGGACCTCATTTCCAGGATGCGGCCTTGTGTGCAGAGGGCCCCCTGCTGTCCCCCGCCTTGGGAACCCTCTGGCTGCCCTAGTCCAGTTTTCTGTCCCCACCGCCAGCAGAGGAGGCGGCAGTGATGGCCCATGCCCTGAGCCAGGAGGTCCTCTTCTTTCTGGGCTTGGTGTGATTGTGGCCAACCTGCCCCTCTCTGCCTCTGTCCTCATCTGTCACCCTGGTACTGGGCTGTATGACACAAGCTCCTTCATGCTGCTTGGCTGTGCACCTCTGAGTTCCCAGCACGTCAAGGGCAGGCCCAGCCTGGGTCAGCTCTGAGCCCGGATGGTAAGGCGCCCTGTCGCGGGGCCCAGGGCTGGTCAGCACCGCAGGCTGGCCGGCTTTTTCCTGCAGGGAGGGGGTGGCAGAGACCCAGCCGGAAGCCCCCTTGTTCTCGTGGCTGGCAGTGCCTCCTCTCCCCAGGAGCAGGCAGGGAAAAGCAGGGCTTGCCAACCCCATGACCCTCCCCAAGCCTGCGGGGAGCCAGCCCAGCCCACCCCCATACCACGCCTTCTGCCTCCTCGCACAAAGCCACACCTGGACCCCTCCCGGAGAGGGGAGTTCTCTGGGTCCTGCCTGCGTGGAACCCCCTGTCCAGATACTGGTAGGCCGGCCCTAGGGGTCCGAGGGGACGAGTCGTGGGCTGAGCGGACAGGAAGGAGGAGGGCAGACGGTAGTCTCAAGGTGCCAGGGCTGCGACCTGGGCGCTGCGAGGGCGGGGGTGACTCCGGCTGTAGCTTTCACCTGCGCTCGCG